CTCCTGGCAGCCTGGCTGAGGGATTTCCTCCCCGTGCCTCTGCTCTCTGGCCAGCACTCTGTCCTTGCCAGGAGGCTGGGAAGACAGACTCAGTCCTGAGCTCCCATTTGGAGCTGCCCTTGTTGAATCTAACATTCTCTTTTCTGCTCCCTGCCCCCTTCCCGAACTCTGCCTTCTCCCCTGACGCAGGGTTCCGTTCTGGACATCTACTACCAGGCCACCAAGGCGGAGATACAGCGCTGTGCCAGGCCTGATGGGCGGGTGCCTCTGGTTTGTATGGCTACTGGGTCCTGATTGGGGTGGGGGAGGCTGGGGGACCTTATGGGGTGGGGACAGTGACTCCTTCTAGAGGCATTCTGGGGCAGGTTAGACTAGAACCAGAATCGGAGCGAGCTCTGGAACTGAAATTTGTGGTGGAACGAGAATTGGTGTTCAGAGGACAAGCAGGACTCAGGAAGAGGTCACCTTGGGATTCTGGAGACTGTTCCAACCCAGGAGGGGCGAGAAGCAGATGAATGGGAGCCAGGCTGGGGGGTGCAGCTGTCAAAGAATGAGGACAAGGAGGGGGTGGGGGCTCTGGGGCTGGACTGAGAACTGAGAGCTGCTCCACCAGGTGTCTGCTGAGTGGCTCTGGTGGCCGCAGCCCCCAGGAAGCCTGGGTCCTGGAGCTAGAGGTCCTGCCTCATGCGGCTCTCGGCCTTGTTTGGTGCATGGATGTGGATCCTTCTGGACTCGGGTCTCCCACCTGACTCCCGTCGTGTGCGTGCATGCGTGTGTGTTGTCTCCCAGGTCTCTGGGATTGCCTTCTTCTCTGCGGAGACTGCCGAGCGCCTCCTGGCCACCCACGTGAGCCCACCCCTGGACGCCTGTACATACATGGGCTTGGACTCTGGGGCCCGGCCTGTTCAGGTGACTGGGTCCGACCCTGGCCTTGTGTTTCTGCTTCCTTGTCTCCATGGGGACTGTGTGGCCCTCCTCTGGCCCTCTCCCTCACCCCACCTCCCTCCCTCCCTCGCCCAGCTGTCCCTGTTTTTCGACATCCTGCTCTGCATGGCTCGGAACGTGAGCAAGGAGGACTTCCTGGAGGGGCAGCCCCCAGAGATGGGGCAAGGTGACTCGGACACAGCGGGTTACCTGAAGGCCGCCCGGGCCCAGCTGTGGAGGGAGCTACGTGACCAGCCCCTCACCATGGGTGGGTCCTGCTCCAGGTTCTCGGGGTGGGAGGAGACCAGCGACATGAGGCTCTCCCCACCAGGTCCCTGGTCCCTGAAGACAATCTGCGCAGGGAGTGACTACCTCGGCCCCCCACCCCCCTCCCTTTGAAGCCTCCCAGGGTCATCACCCTTCCCTTCCTTTGCCTGTTCCTGGGCTCCCACGAGGCCTCTCACTGACTTGCTGTGTGACGTGGGGTGAGCTGCGGAGTCTCTCTGGTTCCCAGCTTCCCTACCAGCACAACAGCCTCATCGCCATGCCTGTCCCCTCCTCCCCGCGCCCCCTCTCCCCGCCCAGGGCAGCTGAGACAAGAAGCCCAGCTGGCCCCAGTCCTGCAGCAGGTATGGGGTTGGGGTCAGAGCTTTGTGTCTTTGCAGCTTACGTCCCCAATGGCAGCTACAGCTACCTGACTTCCTTCACCAGTGAGCTCCTGCGCAGCCTCACACTCCCCGGTGGCTCCAGGGCCCAGATCGTGCACTCCCAGGTGGAGGTGAGACAGGCACAGAGCGCTGGCTGCCAGGTGCCGACCATGGCAGGATACTGGCTGAGGCGGCCTTCCGATCTGTCTTGGTTTCTTCACAGGTGCCAGAGCTCCTGAAGGCGGGGAGCACGGTGGTCAGCTGCCTGCTGGAGGGCCCTGTGCGGCTGGGTCCTGGGAGTGTGCTGCAGCACTGCCACCTAAAGGTGAGGCCTTGGAGCGTGCACAGGAGGGTGGGGTTTTGTGTGTGTCTGTGCTGTGCGCCTGGGACTGTACTGCCCACTGGGCCTGCCCTCTCTCTCCAGGGGCCCATTAACATTGGCGCCGGCTGCTTCCTGAGCGGCCTGGACACAGCCCAGTCAGAGGCCCTGAGCAGCGTGGAGCTGCGGGACCTCAGCCTGCGGGGACACCTGGTGCAGTTGCATGGCTCCCTGGGCCGTGTCTTCACCCTCTCTGGCTCTCTGGACAGCTGGGAGGTAGGGCCGATGTCTCGCCCTCTCCCATCCTGAGTCCAGGGCTCCCCGTTCCCAGTGCATTGCGGGTGCCGGACGAGGGCTGGGCTGTGGGGAAGGTGTGGCCAGTAGAAGCCCAACAGGCCTGCCCTCCTCCTCTCTCTGGGTTGCGGGAGGGGAGTTTCATCCCCACTTTACAGGCTGGAGACTGAGGTTCAGAGCAGGGAGGTGCCCTGTCCTGTCCACTTGGGAGCATCCTGGCTTAATGTTCCTCATCCCTTCCTGTGGCCCCCAGAAACAGGGGACAGGCACATATCTCAACAGGCCCTGGAGTGAATTCTTCAGGAAGACGGGCATCGGGTAAGGTGGTCATGCGGTAAGGTCGTTGGTGCCCGTGGTCTCTGTGGCCCCAGGCAGTTTCCCTGAGCCCCATCCCTGCCC